GGTGTACATCCTCTGGTCTAGCCAGATTACCCTACAAGTCTTTTTAGTTGTTAAGAGTCCCACCATAAAAAGCCCTCAGTTCATTTTGATATGTAAATTGGTCCACAAATAGCTTTTGAGCACCTCCAGTGTGCCAGGCACCTTTCTTGCCCTGGCAACACATTGCTGTAAAGACTACAGTTGCCAAACAAATCCTCTGGGGCAGTTCTACTCTGTCATGTACAGTCCACTCCATGGAAGGTAAAGGCTGTGTTTCATTAGTACGTGCCTATTTAATGACAAGCTCAATGTGAATAAAACATTGAAATGGCAAATATTTTGCTGCATATATAGAGGGAACTTCAAAAAGTTCATTGAAGAGTGGAATTAAAAGATAACGGTGTTTTCCTTGTCATTTGGAGGTTAGGTGGTGTTTTCATCGGCTTGTTTGTCCCTCTGCTTGCAAGTACCATCCAAGGGTCATGCTAACCAACCACTGTGCCTGGCACATAGATGCTTAATAAATATTAACAACAACAATAAAAAGATAGTGGAATTTTTTCTATGAAATTTTGAAGTCCCCTTGTGTTTACTATCCCACCCACCCCAAATTTTCAAAAGAATTGTTGAATTAATAAATTTGGATGTCAACTACTTGACGGAACTCAGTCGGCCTATCCCTCTCCTCACTATGGGCAGTAAGTACAGTGTGACTTTGGAAAGACTCCACAAGGGCATCTGGAGGGGGGGGGTGTCAACAGAAGATTAGAGACTTGATGGCCCTACATTTTCTGAATGGAAACAGCAGTCTGACAATGAGCTGAATGTCTGAAAAATGAAATGTCTCAAAAATTGCTTCCTAGGAGCAGCTCCTACAGCTCTCAGCACCGGGGCGAGTCAGGGTCTGTGCAGGTGAATTTCAGCAGGCACTGGGACACCTCCATTCTCTTCCAGTACATTCCCTGGGGAAGACTCTCCTGGTCCCCAGCCTCGGAAGGGTGGCTCCTATTTCGGGAAATGTACAGAAAACAAAGTACCTGTTCAGGCTCACAAGAGGAAGTGATGTGTGTTCTGTCCTACCGCCTATTTCTCTGCATAGCACGTGGGGTCTTAAATGCTTGCAAAGCACATAGAGCAACAAAAGGCATCAGGGGTAGAAAGAGGGTGTGGAATACGTGGCTAAGGGCCACGAAACCACAAGAACTGAATGAGACCAGGCTACTCTTACTGAACATTTTGGTCTAAGTTTCTACATTAGAATCCTGATCAAAAGCAGTAAAATGCAGAACCGATTTTCCGATTTTCATGGACTCTATCTAGACATCTTTCTGGAGCCATGGAATGTGGAAGGAGCCCCGATCCATCCGACTGAAACTATTGAGATCCTATTGATCTCCTATTGAAGTCATCTTGAAACGTTAAGCCAAGAATATCCCCTAAGGGGGGAGTGGGGAGGGAGGGGGGAAAAACAGAAAGAAAGAAAAATGAGGAGCTGATTCCAGGAGCCCAAGCAGAAAGCGAGTGTTTTGAGAATGATGAGGGCAACGAATGTATAAGTGTGCTTTACATAA